AATGCAAAAAAAAAAAAAAAAACATAAAAAAAAGGTTCAATCCAAATATAGTTTAATTTTGCTCTACATAAAATATATAGTGTTCAAATATGGATGTTAAGTTGAATTAGTAATTAAAATGCGTGCAAAGTCCTATATTTCTTTACTATAGATTTTTCTCGAACTAATTATCATTGTTCACTGAAATTGACTAAAATTTAAAGCAATTTTCAAAAATTTCTTTAATAGATCGAATATAGTACGTGGTTTGCATGACGACTAGTTCCTTGAACTTATATACACATCAACATTTATTAGGCGCTACAATGGATTACATGTTTTTTTTTTCCACTAAGAGAGTGACCAATGATGTGGTGTATAATGTTAGTTAAGTTTAATGACTAAATGAGTAAAAAAAAATCTTTAAGAACTAACTTAAACTTTTTCACAATCTCCAATGACCATTTATGAAATTACCTCGTTATAATATATGCACAGATACTGTGTGTCTGCTATTGACATAAAATATAAACAGACACGTTCAACTTGTGCACATAAATCCATATGGAATGATTTTAAGTTAATAAATTATCAAATTTTATATTTTAATAAAAGTCCAGTTTCTATGGGGTTTCGTAAGATTAGGTTGGAAATTTTTGTTGCGCACGCGATTCACGATTTTACCAATAATGATCGTCGTCTTCGTCACTTTACCCTTTGAGTACACTTTTTTCATTCTTTCTAATATGTTGATTACACGTGATGAATTGTACCCATGTGCATATGAAGAGGACAAAGTCAAACATTTGTTGCAACAACATTAGGAAGTTGATAAAAAAAATGAATTAGTTTAAATGTACACAATGTTTTACCAAATGGATTACACCCCCCTCACATGGAGGAGGGCCCACNGAAAAGTTGGAAAATGTTTTCATTTTCTACCCATTTTCCATGCTACCAAACACACCCTTAGTCTCTGAAGTTAATTGACATTACATCACTGGTCACCTTGTTAGTGTAGCACGTGTCAATGGGGGGCATAGAGGTCCTCCATGTCCTCAACATGCCTATGATTTTTGGGAGGTGGATGGGACGGTGGATTAAAATATCTTCATTTTCTGTCTCATTTACTTTTTTTTAAGTAGGATTTAAATTTAAACCCATAAAAATAAGAGGCAAGGCAAAGGCAACTCATTTTGCTATCCCTACCCCAAGGTGCTTTTTTCGGTGTCCCGATGCAAAAAAAATAAAACATACATAAAAAAAAAGTTCAATCCAAATATAGTTTAATTTTGCTCTACATAAAATATATAGTGTTCAAATATGGATATTAAGTTGAATTAGTAATTAAAATGCGTGCAAAGTCTTATATTTCTTTACTATAGATTTTTTTCGAACTAATTATCATTGTTCACTGAAATTGACTAAAATTTAAAGCAATTTCCAAAAATTTCTTTAATAGATCGAATATAGTACGTGGTTTGCATGACGACTAGTTCCTTGAAATTATATACACATCAACATTTATTAGGCGCTACAATGGATTACATGTTTTTTTTTCCACTAAGAGAGTGACCAATGATGTGGTGTATAATGTTAGTTAAGTTTAATGACTAAATGAGTAAAAAAAAAATCTTTAAGAACTAACTTAAACTTTTTCACAAACTCCAATGACCATTTATGAAATTACCTCGTTATAATATATGCACAGATACTGTGTGTCTGCTATTGACATAAAATATAAACAAACACGTTCAACTTGTGCACATAAATCCATATGGAATGATTTTAAGTTAATAAATTATCAAATTTTATATTTTAATAAAAGTCCAGTTTCTATGGGGTTTCGTAAGATTAGGTTGGAAATTTTTGTTAAGCACGCGATTCACGATTTTACCAATAATGATCGTCGTCTTCGTCACTTTACCCTTTGAGTACACTTTCATTCTTTCTAATATGTTGATTACACGTGATGAATTGTACCCATGTGCATATGAAGAGGACAAAGTCAAACATTTGTTGCAACAACATTAGGAAGTTGATAAAAAAAATGAATTAGTCTAAATGTACATAATGCTTTCCCAAATGGATTATACCCCCCTCACATGGAGGGGGTCCATACACAACAGAATATTCGTGGGCCCCCGTCCATGTGAGGAGGGTGTAATCCATTAGGTGAAGTATTGGGTGTACATCTAGCATATCCCAAAAAAAATCTGGCAGATTTTAATAAAAGTTGATCAACTGTATGATTGAAAAATTGTGAATCTTATGAAATATTTAATTAAAATTAATTATTGACCTTAACATTAACTTTTCAAGGTTTCGCAAACATGCACTAAATTTTTTTTTTTTTTTTGAGGTTGCTCAATTTGATAATAATATTTGACAGGTTAAATTGTTCAAAATACTCCCCTAGTCCCATAAATATAAGCTTTTTATTTTCTTCTGCTCTAAATTATATGTAATTTTCCTTATTGATAGAATAAATGTCTTTTTATTTTTATTTTTTTAATATGTTCGTATTTAATGTGTCTTGTTATCAACAAATAAGAATTACTCCTATTTAAATCATTATTTATTTTAGAGGTATATTAGAAAAAATGTAAGTAATATTTATATCTCCAACCATATTAATTACACTTTTTAATCTATGTGAAAATAAAATAAAAAACGCTTATCTTCATGGAACGAAATGAGTATTTGAATAGTCAAGCATGTTGTAAAGGTAATGTTGGGATTTTAAAGTGATAATTGGAAATGAATTTTTATTCAACCTTTAATTTAAGAGTAATGTTATTTATCATTATAATAAAGAAATATCGGTAATGTGACAACTTAAATGACATAATGAGATAATACAGTTCAATTTTCATGAGAGATAGGGGG